GTGCTGGCTAACTCATTTTGCAATCGAATGCGGGTGATTTTAGAACGATCTACTAGGGCCTCCCGCAATTTTTCGACTACTTGATCAAAAGTTCCTTTTTTTCTAATGTGTTTCAGAATGCCCAAAAACGCATTTAGCGCTAGCTCTGCCAAATGGGCTTTTAAATATCTAATTTTCGTGTAGTCGTCCTCATGGTCAAAACGCAGGGTGAACTCATCGACAAAATCCTGAAAGGATAGGGTTCCTTTACCCTGCTTACCCGTAAATTTTTCCAACCGAGGCAGCTGGCACTGCATGCGCCTGGCACAGTGTAACATTACATCAAACGCATGCAATGCCGCACTGCTTTCATCGAAACACTTACGTGAACGCTGGCTTCTTCGTTCGCCTATCTCACTTGCATTCGTCCACGTTTTTATTCGTGTCGAACCAGCATCGGAAAAAATCTTCCATGATGTACCACTACTGCATTGGCTACTTGGTGTGCTTTGCCGACTCTTTGCTTGTACCAGATCGGCCACCGAAGCACCATTCTTGCAGCACTTGATGCAAGTGTACGGCATTTTTAATGCCGAACTCGCTCATGACTGCTTCAATGCTGTCTTCTTGCTCTTCGCTAGGAGGACGGCTCATGGCGACGGTTTCGTTTCTCCTCCTCTCCGCTTCGCTGTGTCGCTATTGAGCCAAGGCCGGCTCAGTTCCCCATGCTGGGCCCGTACGTGACCCATGACTGCAGCAGCGATAGACACAGGAGAAACACCAGCAGTTTATTCTTTTAATACACGCTTCACTCCAGAGGAAACGCGGAAGATAACGCGTAAACGAAGAGGCAGGGCACCGCACAAGCTGTGCAACAAAATAACAACGGCAGGCGGGGAGGCGAGGCGCTTGCAGAGCTGGACAGTCGAATTAGACGACGCTGGTGACTGCCGATTTCATTCAAACTAACTAACTGACTGACTGAGGGTTTGGATTTAAGAGGGGTTTATTTAGGGGAGATTAATGGAGGGAAAAGGATGGCAAGTTAGTTAATGAATAGGAAGGTAGACAGTATAGAAACATTTAGAATTTGGTGGATTTGTTAGAAGTTAGTAAGACGAGGGAAGTAGGTCGAAGCACTTGGAATTAGTGGGAGGAGGGAAATGGCATAATTATAGGGTTACAATAGTTTTGGCGAGGAATATTATCATAGGAAGTACAAAAGCTGGGAAGCTAAAATTTCAGGATACTGTTCTCCGCCCACGTACGGTGCTGCAAATTCAAATTTGGCTTTCGCGTGCGCCAGGGTCTCAATGTCCCCGCGAATGTTCTGGCAGAAAAAATTATTACCGGAAGCCAGAAGAGTCAGGAGACTGAAAATTTCAGGAGGATATTTTCTGCCTATGCAGAGGTCACACAAATTTAAATTTAGCTCCCAAGTATGCCGGGATCTCACGTACGACCACTTAAAAATTTTGACATGAAAACCACTCAAAAGCCAGGAAATTAGGAGGATGATTTTGGAAGAGTATTCACCTTCCAACGTTTTAATGGGGGACTTCACAACTTAGGAACCAGACAACGTTTACACTATTTTTGCACAGACTAAAGTGCAAAGCAGTGAAAATCCTTAGCAGGCAATGTTCGCTGGACAGAACTGCGAAAAATGCATGATCACGCCGGCTACCCTGGTACATGCCGCTGTTTGTTCAAATTTCCAACTACAGGACTCGCACACACTCATGCACGTATTGGAAATCGCAGTTCGGCCACCTGGGAAACCGAACACTACAGTTACACACACACAAGTCGGGGCAAGTGCAAAGAAACAACTCAGGCTGGAACGCACCAGGCTTTTCGGTACGATCATGCGTTTTTGCACTAAACTCGCTGATCGCTATTAGCATGAATGATCCATACTCTGTGACCTAACACTTGGGCTCATATTGATCGTGCTCTGATCCTTTCCGGCGTGCAGGAAAAAGGGCATCAGTTGGGATGAAGGTGGTGCATTATAGAGGCGCACGGACATCCAGGTGCATGATCACCGGTTTTTATGCTTTTTTTGCAGCTATGCAGTGCAAAACGCATATTGTCGAGGGGTTGTCTGTGTGTATGTATTTGTGTGTCTGTACGTGCGTCTATAACGAGTTTTCATCTCGAGATCCACAAATGCTACAAGGCTGAAAATTTGATGACTTAATCTGCACATACGTATGGGCTCGTGTCCTCAAAATGGGCGCTCAGTTCCGCGTGGTTTTCACGTAGGGGCACGTGAAAGTTTTTTGGCGGGAAAGCGTTTTCGGGAGCAGCCCATGCTAGGAGGCCGAAACTTCACAGAGATGTTCCTTAGCAGCGTCTAGTCTAAAGACTTTAGATTCAGCTTTCACGCACCCCCAGCTCTCACGTACGCACACGTCAGAGTTTAAACTGGCATCATGCCAACTCCAGTTTTAAGCTGACCAATAAGCCGCAGGGAGCTGCAATTTTGCAGCTTTACTTGTCGCCTACTGTTGTGTTCGTTTAAGTAAATTATTTGTTAGCTCTTCTGCATCTCACGTACGAACACATGAAAATTTCACGCACGCGCTTTTGCAACTTCAGAATCGAACCGGCCAGAGGACCTGAACTTTCCAAGCGTAACCGACGGCGACCTTTGACCAAGTGCACGCAAGAACGACTTAGACATCATCTTCACGTGTCATGTACGTTTCACGTGTACACCGTGAGATATGACGTAACTCTGCGACCAGAGCAACGGGAGTGCTGAAACTTTTTGAGCTTCACCCAGGACCGTGTTTGAGTAACCGCAGACGAAGAAAGCATTCACGTTGCCACTCACGTATGAGCACGTGAAATTTGGCGTAACTCTGCAGCAAGAGCAGCTGGAGTGCTGAAACTTTCTGAGCGCTACCCAGAACCGTGTTTGAGCAATCGCGAGCGATGAAAGCATTCACGCTGCCATTCATGTAGGAACACGTGAAATTTTACGTAACTCTGCAACCGAGGCATCCAGAGCGTTGGATTTTTTGGGCATGGATTGGGAGTCATTGTAATAATTTCTAGTAGTAGTGGTGGCCAGTGCCAATTCTTTTAGCTACAAGCATTTGCCGGGAGAACGTGCCACTGGAAAAAAAAAAAACCTGCGGGGTAACTGTGCAAAAAACGCATCCTCGTACCGGCAGCCGTTACGCTTTCTACTAAGTTTATTATAGCATGAAGTCTGGTCATTTTTTTGATGAATGCTCGCTTTGTGAAAAAATGACAAATGCAAATTTTTTGAAAAAATGCAAATTTCCAGTTCATGAAAGATTGGAAGTGTTGCTCGAGCGATCGTTTGTCAAAAACTCCATGTTCGTTTTGCATATACGATTGCGGTTCGTATGAATGAACATGGATTTTGCTAACGATTTTTGGGTTGAGAAGCAGCTTGAGGCTGTGGTTGGGAGGCTCGACAGCTCAGTTTAAAATCTTTGACTCACACGTGCATAGAGAATACCCCTGCAAAGTTTCAGCTTTCTACCTTGCCTAGTTCGCGAAATCGTTTCCCGCCAACATATTTTTTTGGAGCCCGCACGCAAGGTAGAGACACGCGTGGGAGAGCATCTTGAAACGGGGGGGTTGACACACAGGGTAGGAACATATACGCATTTTAGCCTCTTACCTTTCCTGGCTGCTGAGATGAAAGTGAGTGACAAAATATACTCGCTTCCCCCCCACACACACACACACAGCCTCTCGACAATATGCGTTTTTGCTGGCTGTAGCAGCGCTATAGCGCTG